AATGATGCTACTAGTAGCTCCTGGCCTTACTACTAGGAGCAAGAAGCGTTTCTGGATTCCAGGAGTGGCTCGAGGGAATTGCCTTCGGAGCCTTTTCCACTGGTCTACTTCGGCCCATATATGGTTTAGCATATCATCTTCCCCTAGGCCCTAGGGCCTTCGGGCTCGTGCCGAAGGTCGTTGGACCATTTAGATCCAAACGAAGGTACGACTGGAGCCCATCAACTTCTCATGTTCTGCTTGATCGGAGATGACGATGTTTGGAGGTGCTTCAAGTGCCGAAAACGGCGCAGCCAGCTGCCGAATGTCGACGGCTTTGGAGGACTGGCCCGCCGAGAGGAGAGTCCCTGGAAATAAGAAGAAGAGAACTCAGTTGGTGACACGGGTACGAGATCCTATTCTTGCCAACTTGCCAAGCCTGTCCAATCTTTTGACCTTAACTATCCTTAACTCCGTCCCATGAGCAGAATTGACCGAAATTCGGGGGTGGTTGAAACGTATATGTAAAGGCTATATATATATATAGGCCCTTTTTCCATACATGGATCGACTGGGTCTGTCCAAGCCGCCAGTACTCGCTGTCCAAGCCGCAAAGGAAACCAGTTGCCGATCCGCTCAGCGGCTCTTCATCCGGTCGGGTCCCGCGTGGTCCACGGTGAGTTCAACAGAATGACTATGTATCTGAACTATCTTCGATAAAACAGAATTCGGTCAAACAGAATTCTCAAGATCTATCAACTGGTTCTATTTGATTCTGGTCTAGCATCAATCTATATCTTACCTGGAAGTCCAAGACTATTTCAACAATTGGATACAATTGGTCTGTAGGTGACCCGAACAGAAAGATCCTTTACTTCAGTACGTATATATACTTCTTAGGGAAAAACAAATCAGCAATGTGGTTTTCTCGTTGCGTTGCCTTTGAATGTCTTGAAGAAAAAGCAGAAAATCGACGTCGGACGCCTGACAAGGTAGTGCCGAAGAGGTTGGAAGCTTTGACAGCCCTCCTCTATCAACCAAAAGCGCCTTCGCATCGGTGAGAAAGACACTGTTTGAACGAATCCTGGTGCGCAAAAATCGTTCAAGAACAACAAATTATTTGCGAAAACCCAAACATCAAACAAAAAGTTACTCACACAAAGACCCCACAACAATTGGATTTACCAAAACAAGCAACTGCAAACAAATTCATTCACTTATGTACATCAAGACATATCAAGACACCAAGTTCGCCAAGATTCACCAAGAGTCTTCCACCGTTTTTTCTTGTTTTACGTCGCAGGAGGATACCCTCTTTGTCATCGCAGTCGTCTCTTTGCCGGGCCTGAAGAGCGCTAGCGAGGCTGCGTTGGAGGCCTGAAATCCAAGCGTGGCGATCAGTGGCGCTCAAGCAGACTCAACTCGCAACCGTGGTTGATCACTAGGAACAAGAAGCTACTAGGGGCTCCTGTCCGTGCTACTAGGAGCAAGGACGCTACTAGGGGCTCCTGTTCTTACTACTAGGAACAAGAAGCTACTAGGATCAAAAAAGACTTCATGGAATCTAGTAGCGATGGCCTCCAACCTAGAAGCTGAGTGGCACCTGTTTTGGAGCCAGAATGAGGTTGTTTCTTATCCAAACAGAGGTTATGCTTGAGTTCTGGGATGTCCTAGGTATAGTTGGTTTGCTTAGGAGTGATGTGTTCTTTTTCCCTGTAGGTGAATCCCCTTTTGGGGAAGATGTTGTATGCGTCCCAGTTCCACAGGCAAATCCAATATGCCAGTATACATTATATATATATATTACATGTTTATACTATATACATATACATACATTTAAGAAGATCGTCATTCCACGAAAAACATGCCAACCCCTTTTGCACATGTTGCAATTACTGCATCTTGGCAGAGAATGACAGGTAACGAGCTTTTGAGTGCCTTCAGTGCACTTGGGTCACTTGGGAGTTGTACCCGGCCCACCCTTCATGCCCGGATCCTTTTCAGCATATGACATTCCCAGACGCTCCACACAGCCCTTGGTCCCTCAAAACCTAGGGATTTGAGACCCTAGACCCCTCCATATGAGGGTCCATAAGCTTTTGGGTTGATCAAAATTCTCAGAGCCCATGTGGTCTTGAACAGTACTAGGTGGGCATCATCACGGGTTCCAAGTTCAAAGATGATTCAACATAACAAATCAACAGCACTCCGGGGCAAGTTCAGCAGCTTAAGTCACACTGTGTTTGTCATGGAATTCACCATGCCGATACATTGAACATTCCAGGAAATTGCTTGTACTGCTGATGGTCGTGGTTTAGTCATCGTTGACTGACTAATCCAAGAAGCTTTGCCAAGCCACTGACAGCAACTGTGAGAACTCATGTCCTACAGGATTCCAGGAGCAGGTATTGGTCCATCAACATGCAGGTTGATTTTACCTGACTCACACCAATAGATTTCTCACAGTTAAGTAGTTGATAGTAGTTGCATCCTCATGCATGTTGGTCAAGATTCGACATGGCAGTGGGAGGGAACATGACAAGCAGACATTTGAGGGAAGAATCTCCCAGGTCACTTATTCAAAACAAATTGAATGGAGTTGCATGGCGAGTCGGCGAGTGGTCACCTTTTCAAACTGTGGCCAAACAGTTGGATGGTCTGGCAGCCAGGGGCTTTCTTCGGCGGCAAGGGGTCGCTGAATTCTCCGTGAACGTTGCAGGAACACGCAAGAAGGTTTCGCTTCCTGCCTCGGATTAGCTCAACACCATGGAATATCATGGAATACACTCCCTGAAAAACCTGGGGATTGGTGAGAAACTCCAGACCGCTGACCCGAGGATTCAGGGCCGAACGGGTCGCGTTTGGGCAGGCGGTTTTTCCATTGTTCCCAGACCATCCGTGGGACTGGAACCTTTACCACCCCATTGACCCTTAAAACATCTTCAAATCACCCCAACTGGCTGGCAAATCTTCCAATCCCATGGATGGTTAGGGAGCTCATTCACAGAGCTCCTGGTTCATTGGGTTTGCGCATTCGGCCTTGGAACGTTCCAACGATTGGGCGACAGATTCGAATCGTTGGAACCGGAGGTGTCGGAGGAAGAGCTGCGAGTGGAGAGCTTCAGGCGGGTGGAGAGCTTAAGGCGAGTGGAGTCCAGTTTCACCTGGTCAGATCAGCCAAAACGCTTGATGCATTTAGGTAAGTGCCAACGACTTGACGCCTTGATAGGTGGGATAGTTATATATGGCGTTAAAAAAAATGTTTTGGTGATAAACCATGAAACACCGTATAAACCAAAAAGGATAGGTTCCGCGAATGCAAACAGGCTAATTGTTGTTGTGACACTTATCGGAATATATTTTGCCTCCAAACATTTAGTGAAACAAGTGCAGAGATGCCGTCGGAAGTACTTCCCGCCATTAATCTAACTTGCAGGTCGAAACAAGGTTCTTTCTCATCATCAATTTAATAAACAAAGGTCAAGGTTGTTCACAATAGAGCGTTTGTTTGAAAGTTTGACGGGAAAATCAACTCTGAGAGCAAGATGGGGTAACAGCAACACCTCACGCTCGCGGGGCTTTTGGACCTTTGGCACGAAATTGAACATCCTCTCCATTCTTTGAGCTCCTAATGTCATCCAGCCGTTAATCAACTGCATGAGGCTACTGGCAAGACCAACAGCTGACGAAGTGCCAAAAAATAGAGCCCCTCTAATGTTTATATAGTCACAGTCATCCTCAGAATGGATAGAAAGGCCATCGCTAGTTTGTTACTGGCAAGAAGCCCCGTGCTGTCCACAAAGACCACCTCCAGAAAGACCACCTCCAGAGCTTCTTTTTGCCCTGCCCGGAAGGTCGCCTTAGTCCTTCCCGGTAGGGAACAGGCGCCAAAAGAATCAGTTGAAACCCTTGAACCATCTCGAAACAGGTGCTTTTCAGCCATTTTCAGCCCACCCTTATCCTCGATTTGCTTAGGGTCATTGGTGATTCTTCCTGGATAAATCCCCTTCTGGTGAATCTTTACCTTTCCTGGTTCCATGAGCAAATCTAAGTTATTGGCCCTTCACGACTGCACCAGCTGAAGGGTGGGCAGCCGCGTGCTGCTTCGAGGCCAGAGCTGCCGCATCGCGTGACGGGGCGCTTCCCAGTGGCGGTGGAGCCTGAGAGTAGTGTGGCCAAGTGGTCAAGAAGGCAAGCACAGCTCACCATCCGCTTGAGGGCGAAAAAGATGAAGGACATGAAGAGGCTGTTCAAGGGACAGGAAGATGTCCAAAGTCTTCCAACAAGGGCTGTTGTCCTCTGTTGGAAGGATTCTTTAACGCGGTGCAACGTACCATCTTCTCACGCATGTTTGTGGGAGGGTGCCTTTCTTTGGGCCTTGGTCCTGGAGCTTGTTGGCTCAAAGCTCCACCTGGAGAGCGAGGCCTCGAGCTTTGGCCTCTCCCAGCTCCTTGGCAGATCGCAGTGCAAAAATATCAAAAAACGCTTAGATGCAAACCCAAAGCACCCTTGAATAGCCTCCAACCTACTAGCGATGGCCTCCAACCTAGAAGCTATGGCCTCCACCCTAGTAGCGACGGCCTCCAACATAATAACATCATAATAGCAATGGCCTCCAACATAATAGCAATGGCCTCCAACCTATAGCACTGGGACGCCTTGATGCAAACCCAAATCACTCTTCACTTGGGTTACTTGCCAGAACACTGTTTTTCAGAACATCGTGGGTTTCACTTTTCTCAACTGTGTTGCTTCTCGTCCTCCATCCACATGAACTGTCGTTTGTCCCATCCTTTTGTGCTGGGATTGGAACCACGGGAGCTTCTTCGCCGCCAGTGCTACCGGGCACTAGAGATTCCAGATTATATATACAATTGAAACCTTGATGAATATTAATATTCAGATAATGTTCGTTAATTTTCCATATATTGTGCTGTTCCTTGCATTGCAATTCATCCAGTGGATTGGGTGCTTAACAAAATGAAACAACTATCCGTGTGTAGTTGATTGATGGTACTCCTAATGCCGTCTTTCCCGTCATCTTCCGTCTATAAATTGCCGTCTTGGGCCTTTGTTGCTCGTTGCAGAACCGGGGTTCTCTTCGCGTCCCAGGTGGAGATGTGGCACATTTTGAATGTCCTGGACTATGTGGGATTGGCCGCTTGGGCTCAGGAAATTGGAGGTTTCATTTTAATCATGACATACTTTTCTTAGCCAACGTCTTGTCCATCACGCAGGAAACTGAAGGTTCCATCCGGCAATAATCGCTTGCAATTTAGCATTTCGGTATTTCTGTCAGCTGTGGCTATGTTTCCTTACTGTTGGCTCATTCATTTTCTCCCCCAAGATGCTTAGATGCTTGAGTGAGATTTGCTCTCGTCAAGTGGAGGTGACCCTGGCCCTTGAGGTTGCACATTTAACGGCCACCTCTCTCTTTGGCAAAGTGCATTGATTCCATGGCTGCGCTTCCCCTCTTACAGCCCCGCTAGCAGTCGACACGCCAGTGGCACGTGTGGCACACACAAAGCAAAATAGAGTAAGAGAGTGGACATTAGTGGACATAAACGCTGGGTTTTTGCACTGGAACGGGAGGAGTTCCTTTTTGCTCACTAGAGTGGTCATTTTTTTTTTAAGCGAAATATGTTTTGAAGCTGCGTTTAGTCCACTCCCAGCAATAAGGGGTGGTAGGGTTGATGATTAGTCAATGCTGTTGTAGATTGACTTGTCAATCTTGTATATTTATTTGTCTTTTTACGTGGTGCTGAGGGCATCTTCATCATGCTTCTGTCCGGTAGCCATAAAACTGGTGGTCTGGGGCAGGCTCCTTGCAATATTTCCCAAAAGGTCTGGATTGGAGTACCCTTTGATATGGTTGGAACAAAACCTTTGGCCTTTGGTCCTTCTTTTTGATCGAAACACATGCATGGCGACCACTACATAAAGGTTTAGTACTGTTTTAGACACAGAGAGTAGCCAGTAACCAGAAAGACACGTGTTTGTTTTGGGGGGCAGAACATGCAACATATTGCAACATGTCCACTGAAAGACTACAGTCCTTTTGACTTTGCTTTTCCATAGTGGTTTGTTTTTTTACATGTAGTGTAATGATATGTGCATATATAAACAACGTAGACATATACCACATCAACTCACAGCATCCCTATCTAAGACCTGTTGAAGGATCCCTTCTGACGCATGTTCATCATGAGACAGGGGTTCGTTGTTGTGAAAGGAATATTGTCCAACAAATAAAGAAGCATTAAGCGATGGTTTCGCCTGGTGGCAGCACACTGGTAGCCGCCAAAGTTACCCGGAACAACGAAACACCAGTCAAGACATGTTTACGTCTTGTTTAACACCCAACACACCTTGACTGTCCATCCTGTTTAATCCTTTCGCCGAAAACAGCTTTCAGGTGGCTGCACAGCTCATGTTTGGGCGACATGTTCTTTGGCCACCTAAACAGGTCCTCCGACATGTGCAATGCTTTGCAAGGAAGGAGACTGAACCAGACTTCGGTCCTCACAAACCCCAAACAAACAGTTCTTAAGCCTTAAGCTAGGTGGTCCAAGAGTGTAGCCCTTGGGCCGAAGATTAAAAGAACACTGTTCACAGCCAGTTCTCCCAAGATCGAATCGATTTTCGCGTGAATTGAGGGCCCTGATGGCCATCCCACCCACGACTGCCAAGGCGGGGCACAATAAACCACGGGGCAGTTCCTCATGTTTGTTTGGTACTTCCAGACAGGACCCGTTTGGGACCAGTATTTTTCAATCGGGGTGACCAATGGATGTCTCCGTGGTGACCCGTTAGGGATCCGAACGGTGTCCGGTGGCACCCGGTAGGCGTCCATTTGATATGAAATTCTGTGGAAACAAATGCGATTTGCATTTCTAGGTCAGGTGATGGTTTTGGCGACCTTTGATTTTGAACCCTTACTTGGGGATGATTCGACCGTCTGACTATATCTTATGTTTCAAGTGGAAGGAAAACACCAACCATATTTTGTCTTTTGTAGAGACACATGTGCAAATATCAAGATTCAATGTAGACACTTGCATTTTGTAACAGATGTAAGTAGTGTGTTGATACTTATATTCAGAGAGGAAAACCATTCATGCACACTTTCATTTTGTCGAGATTCATGCAGGGACGCTGGACAAGTTGTTGGCATACACTGCATAGAAACCTGCATTTTGTAGCAGATATATATATATATATGTGTATACATGTGTACATGCACTTTAAGTAGGTACAAAAAGAACTCTATGGAAAATAGTATCCACAACATGTTTTAAACACAAGGTAACATGCATGCCAAAAGCTATCAACAAATGATGCTGGAATAAGTTGACAGCTTATATAGATAGGTGGAGATTCGTGCAAGAAATCTGAGGGTCACATAAACAAAGAACAAAGGTAACCAACACTGAACCCAACGCTCCTGCATGAGGAGAGGCATTGTTTCTACAAAACAAAATTGTCTGGGAAAAATGATCTACAGAATGGCTCCTTCTAACACAATGTGACACACAGAAAGGAAAAAAACTTGCTTTAGAAGAAACGAAGTGTAGCGTTTAGGATGCCATTCAAATTTGTGCTTGAGGTCCGCCAAAAAGAATGGGCACAAAACTCTCGAAACGCTGACACCCAGCGGAAAGCAGCCTGAAATAATTGCTTTGGGGCGCGTGGTAACGGGCATGCAATGGCATGTTGCATTGGTGTTTAGAACATGACATTGTTTGCACATGCATAGACCATGTCAACTGCCCAAACACAAAGAAACATGGTATGTAAGCATTGCGTAGCGAGAATGACTCAACTATCCCTGTAGACATCGCTGACTCCGGACCTGTGCATTTTGTACCTGTGCATGTTGTTATATTATGATTATTCATTTTGTAGGTTTCGTTGGTGATTCATTCATGTAGCACAAAATGATACAACATGAGCCATCCTAGGATCAACATGGACGTTTCAACAGCAATCCCAAAGGTATATACTTATGATCAACGGTAATCACAGGCCCACCGACGGTGGGGAAGCACTACGCTTGGCGCAGGTGGCTCCACGAATACGAGCTGCCACGATGGGGGCGGGGAGCCGAGATGGTGACCCGCAGGGGTATCGGATGGGTTCGCAGATGTCCCTGTTCCCACCAAGTGATAAGTGTAGAATCCATGGTCTATTGGTTGGTTTGAAAAGACTTCCCTTCGAAGCCAGCGCCTTCAGTACGTAGCCATTTCCGCTTCTCTTGGACTGACAAGTGGGGTTGGCAAATTCGGGTTGCGAATGTTTTGATGCGTACAGGGAATAGAATTCCCAAGGTGTACCAGCAATTGGCACGTATTACTGAACAATCCTTTCACCCAACACTTTCATTTGCTACAAACTGCACATCTGTTGCTTCCAGGGTTGCGAGGGCACGAGCAATCGGAACAGACATAATGAAGTGCACTTCATGTGATGGGTCGCGTGATAAACCCGCGACATCATACCGCCGCGACTGAATGACTCAGAATGAACTGTTGTAGAATGACTCTTTGAAGCTGGTTCTTGGGAATTTTGGGATTGTCGGATTCCTCCAAAAGCCAGCTGTGTCTTCAACTTCTGTGCCATTGCAAGTCTACAAAAGCCGATGCTCTCCATGTGCGTGGTCGTGGTTTATTGGTACTGTGCCATGGTGCAGCTCTTCCAAACAAAAGTTCTTCACTCGAATCCAGGATAGACTGTCCTTATGCCTATATAGGCTATACTATAGGCCTATCAAAAGGCCTGTAAGATCCTATCAAGAGCAGCTTGAAAACAGGATAGCACACCATCTCCTGACTATGGACATCCTTGGACCATAGCTTTGCGCGGCAACTTGGTCTTCTGTCCAGCCCAATGGCCTTTGATGACATAGCTCGCTTCGGCGGCTGGCATCTGATGGCTATGCGATATGAAACAAAAACAACATGTTCAAATATGTTGAAACGTGGTCCTTCTAACATTATTTTGCAAATATTCCATGTTGTATACAGGAACATTCTGTTTACCGGGGACAGCGCGATCAACAACACGCGGTTTTTGTTCAACAGGAAGAACCATCCATTTCCATCCGGCACTTGCACAAGTGGAAGTTTCAAGCATCTCCCAGAACCCTCCCGAAGAAACATTGTCTTAGGAATAAACGTTCCTCACGCCGCCTCACTGTCAGACTGACTATAGCGTCTATCCAGTTTGCCCTTCTCAGCATATCGGGAGATTCAGCACATGTTACAAACCATGTTACAAAAACCAATCGGGATTCGTGAAAAGAACTCCATGTTTAGATCTCCCCATTTTACCAATCTTCACGGCGGTCGTCTGGCGCTGAGATGGTCATGCCAACCGTCTACGCCTTTGGCCGGTGGCAATGGTGCTATGCCTAGCGTGTCGGTCTGGTGGGCCATCGGAGGAAAGGCATAGAACACCAGCTCGGTTGGAGGCCATCGCTCAAACAGCTACCAAACAGCCCTCATAGTGACATGCTACAAGCGACATGCTGTAGGAACTGTAGGAACGACATACTAAAAGATCATCGAGATAATTTCTTGCAAGTCTGCGCAAGAACCCCAATATTTGTTGGCTTTCCCAAAGGCGAGCCCCATCGTCGTTTTGGGTCTCAAATTAAGAACCAAATTGCACAACAGGTGGGCCTCCTTCTTCATGTCGTGCTTTGGTGCGGCACTGGATGCTGCTATTAGGATGGTGGCCATCACTATTAGGTTGGAGGCCATTGCTATTAGGTTGGAGGCCATGATTGTTTCGAGTGCACCTCGAAAAGGGCGTGTCCGATGGCCGGATGTTAGAAGCGTTGAGGTTTGTGAACACCACCTCGTCACTTCTGAAGGAGACCCCATCCTGTGAAGACAAGGCAGGATATGGAGAAAGCTGAAACTGGGCCATGACGTTTTGACAACGAGCTGCTTTGTTCATGAGATGCGCTACTCAGAAATGGAACTGTGAAGACCAGGGGCGGAACACATCTCCAAGGGTGGCCTCTTTCCCAGCCGAAGTCTCTTGCTGGGTCTGTAAAATCACCTGGCTCGGGTTTCCTTCTCCTATCGCAAGGGTGACTTTGGAATGAAGCTTGTGCTGCTGTTCTTCACTTCAGCTGAAGGGACATGACCTCGCGAGAATAATCGAAGGTCCTGGAATTGTCATGTCGGTGGAATGTCAAATCATTGTCTCCTTAGTCTCCACTCACAACTTGCGCCCCCCCGTTGCTTCCGTCCAAATGGCATGGGGCTGCCCAGTGCCAGTGCATTTGGGTCCAACGATTTGTGCAGGTGGAATACTACAGAAATCTCAGGCACCGGGCTGATCCTTTCGACTGCGTGCTGTGGATGATTCGTTGCTCCAAAAAAACGAGTGGAAAAGAAATTCACCATATTTCACCACGTATGCCGGACGGTTTTCCCAATACTCGGTGTTCCGATGGGAGAACCGTCCCTCCGTCCTCCGTCGACCTCGCCGGGCATCGCTCTGGAGACGGATGCCGGCGGGAGGGATCTCGCGCCTCACAGAAACAGATGGCCGAAATGGATCGAGATCCACCCCAAAAAAGATGGAGAGCTGGGGACTGTGGTATATGTTTTTCATTGTTTTTCTTGGTTTCTCATATCCTTCTACCTCTGTTCTGAAAAAATGGGGCATGCTCTGGGGATCTGTCCCCGTCCGACTCTGAGAACTTGCCGGCCCCTTTCAGTGTGGAACACTGGAATGATCATGGCCCCGTTAGACATCCTGATGATGACCATGCTTTTCTGACATCCTGATACCAAACCGGTGGCTGAACTCCACGCGACCTATATGATCATTGCATGATTCCAGGGACTACCTTGTGGTGGTCAAACACACTCAAGTCACGACCATCCACTTCGGGTCTAGACCCTTCACGCCGGGACTAAGACTCATCCAGCATACGTACTAGAGAGAGCGATCAGCACACAGATATGATATTACTGTGTGGGATATGTTTTGCAGGATTTGCCACACTGACTGTTTGTAGCGGTCCGTGTGTTTTACTTTAACATCATGGTAATGTCTGGAACAGGATACCACATTGTTCGGTCGTATTCTGTCAAGCTCCGTTTTCATTGAATCAGACACTGGCAACATGCAACTATAATCAACTATATATATATATGTATATATTGAGTCAACGTAACTACCTGGCTGGCGACTATAGGTTTTTGCATTAAATGTTTTCCAACAGCTATGAGCCGCTTCTGGACAAGTATCAGTCTTTGCCCATGAATTGGACATATAACTGGACTGTTTTTTGCATGAGTGTTCGTTTGCTAGCAGACTCGTTCTCCAGGAGTCTACCCGCGCAAGTCCATGAGTTGGGTGTTCTTGACAAGTTGGTCCTGGAGCAATAATAGACGAAGCTCCGAACTTTTAACTGCTAGCTCAGCTATCTTCTATGTTTTGTTTGTTTCTTTAATGATAATAGATGTGTCTTTTAGTTAGAGGAGTTTTGCTCCTGAAGTGATGAGTGTTCCGCCTCTCCTGAATCGCTGCTAATGCAATATATTGGTCGTACATTTCGTGACATTTCGATACATGTTTTTTCTTCACCTTCCTTGCTCATCTCGTCTGCTGTCCAGGAATACGTATCTCACGTTCTTGCTGATGTTCAGCTCTTTGATGGTGATTTGGGTGCGCAAAACACACGGGTCGATGGATCGTGTGATGGAGCGGCCCTGCTTGGGCCCTTAAGGTCGATTCGCCCCCCCGTGGTTCAGGCCAATCAAGCGAGTATAAAACTATTGGCATACCTACAGAGGTTAAGTGACCTTATAGGACCCTACAGGGGTACCTATAGGATAGTCTATATAGGGTTCTTCAACCTCTGCTGGTATGGCTGAACCCAGCCGATCTGCCAATCTTTCTGAACCGCATGGTTCGGAACATCAGTCGACGGGTTCAGATCGAGTCGCATCCGGGCCCGACCGGCGGGTTCGTTTCGCCGCGGGCGACGTGAGTTCGTCGTTCTGAAGGATCGAGTCAAGTTCCGAAGAGGACAGTTCGGTGTATACCTGGAACCCAGACATGACCTTTGATATGCTGAAGACCATATTTTGGGTCACCGGCTGGTTGGTGGAGACCTGCTTGAGGCGGAAAACACGTAGAAGAGTTGGTTCTTTTCAAATCTTGACGCATATAGCACTTTCAATGGGTGCCCTGTTTGGAGACCTGCAAGTAGGGCAGGATAGTCTATTGCACACCCAGACAGGATGATCCTGGTATATCTTGTTCCAAATCTGACCCATTGACCAAAACCACACGGTCCGCAGCATGCCGCATTCCTCCGCGCTCGCCAGGTGGCGCATCTGAAGTCAGAGCACGTCAGGTGTGGCTGTCCGCTGGACAGGGACAGGGGAGGGACGTACGACCGGAAACTTGCGTTATGTGTCGTGTTCTGTTTTGGGGGAGATGTTTCTTGGAATAACTAGTTGCTTTGTTTCAGTAGGAACATATTGAACCATGATCATTGATCATGCAGGAGGGTATGAAAGGTCACACACTGAAGTCCCAACTCCTGCAATCCTTTGCATACTTTGCGTGTTCAAGTGCCCGATTTGGACACCACCCTCGCCTTCTTGCAACACTTTCCATGCAACACTTTCCGTCATCCTCGATGTGGTTTGCCACATGCCAAACAGCTGGGGGGTTCGGATGCATCGTGAATGGAAAGCGGACCTCTACAGGCAAGAGTGATGGATCCATGAGGCGCTTGGCACGTGGCTCCTGGGCGCGGAAGGCACGTGTAACTGCAGATAGCTAAGATCTCGTTAACGTGTTGCTATTTGTTGCAGATGTTTAGTATGTGACCTACCATTTTACCATCCGGGGTGGGCTGTTAGCTATGGGTGTGTTATTTGTTTGGTGTGTACTTCTTGATGCAGTGGTTGGAAGTTTGACATGAGCGAATCATAATTACCTCGATCCCCCCGAATCGTACCCCTCAAAAAATAGGTGCAAGAACAAGGTTTTAAGGTGCTTAATTGTGGCTTGTCTTTGTGCTTTGTAGATGTCCATGAACCAAGAACGCATGACGTTAGCAAGCTTGTGATCCACAGAACAAAGCTAGGTAACCTCTTTTTGAAGAATTCTATGGCCACACCAAATCCTACCCGATTCATGCCCCGAATCGTGCACCGTGGCGGTTCCGGCGTATCTACCTGGGCCGATGAACATCGATGGAAAGCAAGGCTTGAAACTGTAGACACAGGGACCAACAACACCACACAGGTGGAGGAGAAAATAGGGAGGGCATAGCCCGACTTGTTCTGACCGTGGCACAGAGGTCGTCAGGCTCAAACCTCAAAGCATTGATCTGGTGACCAGGACGGCCTACACTCCGAATCACTAACATGGAAGCGGAAAACCCCTGGTTTATAAAGGAAAGTAGTCTCCACTTCCATGTTAGTGAGTCAGAGTGTACAGTATATCTGTTGAATTCCTGAGAAGCCCCGCTGAAAAATCAAGAACAGCACCAGCCCCTTGTGTTTCACTTCAGTATCCACGCCTTCAAGCCCCCTTTTCAAAGCTCCGACATGGGAATCAAGGGGCCCCTTTACATGGAATGAGGGCCATCGCGACGAACAGGAACGAACATGAACGAACCACTAGAGAGACACCAATGTGACACATGAGCGAACGAAACGCACCGGCGGGACGCTCGGCGCTTGACCTCGCTTCGCTCTCAGGAGCCCCAAAGACACCGAAAGTGCGCGGCTGCCGGCGGGAGCGCTGGGCTTTCGGAGAAAAAGGAGATCCGCGGAGGATGCTGAGACCCTCCGCGATGGGGCGGAGTCGGTGAGCAAGTTCTGCTAGGAGTCGATGCATGAGTTTGGAAGAACCAGATGAAACACTATACTGTACCTATACTCATCTATACTCTATGACTATCGCTTTTGGACCGGTCATAATTTGGGACTTGATCTTCGGACTGCGGCGTGACCTGTTTCTGAGGTGTGTCGGTTGAGAGTCACCCACTCCTTTGTCGCCTCTTGACTTCCACCATCTTCCACCCCTTGTCGCAGGTGAACTGTCGTTGTCAATGCTACAACCACGAGGCCGTCGCTTATCCAGAGGCGAGATCCGAAGGAAACCGAAGGAAACCGGGTGATTGGAGCTTGCTGAAAAGCACCCGCCCCCGGAGGAAGCCTTGAGCACAGAGAAGCACGATGGTACCACAGAATTGGCAGGTTTTGTCGCTTCGGATATCGTTTCATGAGTCATTCATAGGGCTCAATAGCAGAAGGCAACAACAGTCGAGCGAGGAACTTACGTAATCCTGTATACACCAATTCTAGTTGTCACTGGATGTGTTTGTTCCTTTTTCTGAAACCTACACAGACATTGAAGGGTCATGGGCCCCTGTTCTAGCCCAATGAGTTCACAAGGACGAGGCATGTGAGGGACTCATGCACGAAGACCCGTGCATCCTTGGGTCAAAAAACACTCTCTCCCCCGCGACACTTGCAGAAGGTGAGAAGGGTCCACAACACAACACTTGGATGCAGCATGAAACACCCGGGCACATTTGAAGAACACGTCCCCAGAACCATCCTGAACCACCACAACCAGTTGTTGAACACGATGATGTACGTTGTAAACATCAGCATCCAAACAGACACTTCTAGCAGAAGTTGGGGACTGGAAATGCGAGTCGAGCGGGATGTGCCCCAAGGAATCCTTGTGGATTGAACTGTTTCTGAAGCAAAACAGCCCAACCATGACCGAAGATCATGCGGGATGAGAGTTGTGTGATATGTCTTTGCAGGTACTCGAGTGGGAATGATAAGACGTCAGTGTGTTGGAGATGCTGGGTAGTAGCCTGTGTAGCCTGTGGCTCTAAAAATGTTAGGGACAAACGTATCCATTCGCTTCGAAATGTGTTCAATTAGAGGAAATGGCAATGGTTTCGATACTCGGGCACTGGGGCGTTCATTGACTCCAAAAATCGGTCGGCTGAAATGTGTGTCGTTGGGTGTTCGCAGCTGAACGGATCAGCAAAGAACCGGACAGAGTTGAGAGTGGTACCTTCGGTTGAGAGTTGGTGGAACAAAGAGGCGAAACTGAATTCCGGGCTCCTTGTATTCGTCAACAGGGTCCTATGAATTCGTTCCTCCAGGTGCCAGCAAGCCACTTGAGACCATGTGGTGGCTTTCGATGTGAGGACGGGCTGGCAGTTTTCGAAGGGTTCAAGAAGGCTACTAGAAGTTCATGTTCATCATGCTCATGCTGACATCTCAGAGCTTCATGATCCACTTTTTTCTTTGTTAATATTTAATCTCACCATATTGTCCCTAGACTTCCAATTGACCATTAACAACATGGTTAACCTGGTTTTTGTAGTGTAAAATCCTTAGTTGATTCGGGATTCAGCCTATTAATGCTTGGCCAGGAAGCCTAGGGTTGTCCCACTAGATCCCACCTGTCGCTCGCAGCGATCCTCCCGGTGGAGGACGTGGTGGCTCACACCCGGCTCCATTGGATTGGTCGAGTCGTCGAGGCCTTCTTCCGCGTCGAGGCCGGGGGTGAGGGATGCCTTTCGGTTGGAGGGGGGACAAGAGCGGGGCAGAAAAGATCTGATTCTACATTGCAGAGTTTTAATACAAAGAACACCATCTTGGATTTGAGTTGGATTTGAGTAAAGTTCTTCATCTATGTCGACGGCCTGTCAAGAGTCGTCTTGATCATTCTCAGGTCGAAGTTACGAAGCGCGGTGCGCGCAGCGGTGCAGGCGGGAAGCGTTCGCGGCGGGAAGCGCGAGGTTTTTTCGCGCGACGTGAGGTTTCGCTGGGAGTGGAGCCCTGGTTCATCCTCCCAAAACCAGGTGACCAGGGCGTGGTTCTAATCTTTTTGGGGGGGTCGCGGCGGTTGACGGCTAGATTGGGAATAACCCAGCAACAGGGATACTTTTTTTGTCTAATCAATAATGAACCAGGAACCAGATTTACTGAGAATCTGTTGATCCTGTTAGTTGCTGGGAGGCGGTGGAGGATACTTCTCAGACTGGTCAGTGTTCTGTTAATAAGGCTATTGAAGCCAGGTTGGTCAGGATGGGCTTGCAATCACTTGAAATTCAATAATTGAAGTTTTCCTGAGCTTTGTCAGACACCAACTGCCGTGTTTGCTGTATTTGTGGATGGATGAATCTGACAGAACAATATGTCCATGATATCTCAGATTCACCTGAATGGTTTTGTTCTGAGTTGTCATATCATGAGATACCGGCGCCTGTATTTCAACCCCAACAAAGCGACCATTGTTTGAGGGAGCATTGTTTTGACACGTTTCAATGGAAACGAGGCTAGGAGATGCGTATTTTAGGATGAGTTTGCAGGTCTGTGCAGCGTTGTTATCTTGTTCATCCAGATTTGATTTGCAAGTGAAATCGATGACGGATTATGTTTATGTTTAATGGACTACTGGTAGCTAGCAATGCGAACCACAGCAAGATTCGATCCACATCCGACCGTACCCGTTATCTACAAAAGCGGAGGCTGAAGTGATGAAGCACATGGTATTCCATCAATGCATCCACAACGGATTGGCTCGGAGCTGGTTGTCTCATTCCCAGACCATCCATGTATGGTTGTCTATATGGAATGTTTACCGTTAGTTAACCCTCAAAAACCATTGTCAAATCTTGGCAAATCTTCCAATCCCATGGATGGTTTGGCATTTGCTTCTCCAAAGCAACACTCAGCTCCGGTGAAAGCTCGCTAAGCTAGGCCGTTGGACCTGTGTCTTTGAGGTGCGACATCGGCTGGGCCGTTGTTGTTTTTTTGTGGCATTGGAATTGGTTTTGCAGGATTGATTCATGACCTTCTGACAAGGTGATTAGAGACACTGTTATGTAGGTTTGAAGTGTCCACATTTAAGTATGTGGATCCCCAGAAGGGGATTTTAGATCAGATATGATGAGATTCAAAAGCTGTGTTGGTCCTGTGTGATTCAAAAGGTGCGAGAGAATGATGCAGTGGGGCAGGTCCAACTTGAGTGACCCGTTTCGTTCTTTTTTTTGCTGCCCGGCACGGGGTTTTGGGGGAGAAGGTCCGAGAAGGTCCTTGCTTGTCCTATTCAGATCAAGACGAGTGACTAGTGCATCAGGGAGAGGATCCTTCAAGAAGATTGATCAACCCAAGATGGGCGAAGCATTCGTAAGGCCAAGAGCCCCATTCGTAGCTTCTGGTGATGGGCACTCCCAACCTTTGATCCCGACCCGTGAGTGCTTGGCTCAATGGCTCCGGATGAGGTGGGCAGCAGTGGCTTGCCGGGGCTGATGGCTTCTGACACGGCGGGTGAACAGGCCTCCTGGCAGGACGCCACCAGAAGATCCCGCATCTTTCACCGTCGATCTCACATCCTTCTCTTTATGTTTGTTCATGTTCTTTTTGTTTTTTCCATGGCCCCAGGTGTTTCAGAAGGGCAGCCGTGAACTCTACATCCGCTACAAGTCAACATCACCGGGGATGACTGTCACATATATCGCACCAAGCAGTGTACCCATAATTTGCGATATGGTTAATTTTTGCTTGTGATATGGTTTTGCTTGTAGATCCGTGAAGACGCCATGAAGACACCATGAAGTAGTAAACAAACATCGATGGTAATCTGCTCCAAATCCCCAAGATCCGCTGGTTCGGAGTTTCTGGGACTCCACAGGGAGTCAGATGATCTCTGATGATCTATTCGCTTGTTGGTCTCGCGAATGAGGAGTTGTGCCCGCACTTCACAGGGCAAAAGGCGCGTCGTGGCGAATCGGCCTCAACAATCCAAGGGTGGTTTTGCATTGTGTTGCATTGCGTTACTGATCTTGCTCTGGGAGTAAATCTGGAGGAGAAACGAGACCGGAGCAAAGGCGTCAATCTTTCACGGCTCCGCACAAACGGGGCACAACGGGTCCGCACGAGTCGTCCCTCACGTGGCGACACATCGACCTGTTGCTCTTGCTGGTATGAAAAACCGATGTGTCCATTCCTTGGAGAACGGGTGTGTCCACACCGCGGCGTGTCGCGACTGTCGCGAGCGGGGCGCGTGGCGCTCGTGGAGAGCGCCCCCGGGAAGATCCAGTTCGCGGGAACGGTCGAATGAACGAAGCTCCGTCCCACTCAACGGTTGAATATATGATATATATATATATATTGGTCATGCAACAAAGACGAACAGTCATATGAATTCATTTGGTATGTGGGTATAAAAATTGTTATAAACATGTTTAGATCAATAAGTTTTGATGATCGAAGCTTGGAATCGTAATATGTCCCAAAATATCTTGCAATAGTACCCAGACCATTCATGTATAGTATGTTTACATACATTGACCCCCTTTCAAGCACCCCAATGTAGGTACATATGCCAGTCCCATGGATGGTCTAGGGTATGTTGGAAGAACGTTTTTTTGTTTCAAGTTTGGTGCAACTCCCAGACTTGACATGTTGCACTGCTGCACTGCTGCACTGCTTGTTTTGGGGCGCATCCTGCGCCTTCCTGATTCGTAGGTGTATGGCGTGGGGCGCATTTGGAGACAGGCCGAGGGCTTTCGCACGGTGGGCAAAGCGCCGGTGGATCGATGGAGACTGGCCGAGCAAGGTCGACCAGGTCGACATGGCAAGTTCGGTCGGAATCACATGATCAGCTGTTCTTTGAGCACCTGGCTTGGGAGCCATGGTTTTGACAGATCCACTGTGATCTGGGACCCCACATCCAATTTCTTCCGATTTTCATATGTGGTG